CCACTGAAGCAAACGAAAGTGTTGGGCAAATTTTAGAGCTAGCCTGGCTTTATATGTTTAAGAAAAAAGGCAGGGAAAAACAAGAGAAAGTTGATGCTTTCAGATAAACTTTCTTAGCTACAATTTAGAGCAACTCAGAAGATCCATGACTCATACTCATGTGTCTTTTGCTGAGACTTGAATCTGCAAGCATTGGGAAGCTGGTGTATAGAGGTAGGTCCCTTAGCCAGTAAGTCAGCCGACCCACTACCAAGATTCCCATCTCAATGCAGTTCTCTTGTTTTCAGCATACACACCAATTCTCTTGAATTTTCTAATAGACTGGAGTGAATTTTATGGGGAAAATTATACTAAATATTAGAATTAGTGTAAGTTTAAAGACACATCCCCTCTTGCATATTCAGAGTACATTGCACAGGTAAGGGTTCTTGAGATGGGATTATATTAAAGGCAGTGGATCTCAATTTTTTTTTTTTAATCAGCTCCCACTAGTTGTTGTTAGCTCCCAAAAAGTTGGCACTCAACTCATCGGACGCCATGCACAGAGGAATGAAACTCACAGCCTGCTCTGCTCCTTTGTCATCTGTACGATTGGTTGCAGATTGGATTGTTGTGATCCCTCAGTCTTTTATTGGCTGATTTTTTTTTTTTAAGTAAATTGTCAAGTCTTAGTCCATAAGCTCCACTGAAATTTTTCAGCATCATAGCAACACACAGGCCTCTACTGACAGATGGGTGGCAGCTGTGTCTGAGGTGCATTGCTTGGGAACTGAACTGGGATCTCTTGCATGGAAGTGAGAATTCTACTATGGAACCTTCATTGTCCACAGCCCCCACACTTAAGACAAGGCAAAACCGCTTGACCTACCAACTCTACCCAATTTCATTTTGCAGTGGAAAAATAAATTAGTGATAATTTGGGAGTGAGTACATTATGCATACATTTCCTTTAGCATTGGAGTATGGATGATTCATATTTGAACCACAATGTATACATGTCTTAGACTCTAGTTATTGGAAAATTACAGCCCCAGAATACTTGTTGATGCAAAAAAGCTTCACTATACTCGGTAGGGTTAACCAAACAACCCACAACAAAATAAACTGATAATGATAAACTTAAAAGTAACTCATAATTGAAAAGTACTGATAACAGCAATTCAAAACCACAATCAACTCCAGACAACATTGATGATGTACTGATAACAAAGAATCCTTCTCCCAGATTTCAGAAATGTCAGTTCTGTGCATGCACATATGAAATAGATGCGTTCTAATATAGTAGACAAGCACTGAATGCAGGCTGGACTTCACAGCAAAATACTGTACGGTATTAAATAACCACTTCACTGGAGAAAGATGAAGCAGTTTGCTTCTGTGAAGATTATAGACTTGGAAATTCTATGGGGCAGTTGTACTCTGTTATATAGGGTTGCTATGACAGAATCAACTCAATACCAACTTATTATTTTTTTAAATACTTTCTAAGATTACAAATGCCTCAGGTACTATGCCACCAGAACTCTTTTTTTGTTTTTGTTTTTGGTTTTAAGATTACAATTAATAACTCTAGTAATATGTAAAAATGAAAGCTTAATCAAACTGCACACAATTCGCCAAGATAATCAAAGTTTGTTGTTTTTACATGCCATCGAGTCATCTCCGACTCACAACAACCCCTCCTTGGGTTTCTGAAGCGATATCTCTACAGAAGTACATTGCCTAACCTTCCTTCGGCGGAGTGACTGGTGGGTTTGAACCGCCAAACTTATGGTTAGCAGTCAAGTGCCTTAGGCACTAAGCCAAAAGAACTCCCAGATAATCAAAGAGAGGACATTTTTTAAAAAGTTCAGTTCAGGGCACATGAGGTTGTTTCTGGTAACATGCCTGCCCCTGCCCTCCTCTTGTAGGTCTTAGTCTCTCTACTTTTGAAATCACCATTGAGGCAGCATTACCTCCTTTCTGGTGTGGCTTTAATTTTTTCCATTTCCTAGACCAAGTAAACAGGAGATGTGCATTTGGATTTACAATGTGTTCACATTCTCATTTTAAAAAGTGATTTTTTAAAAAAATATTATTAGGTGCTGTCAAATTGATTTTGACTCACAGCCACCCCACATGACAGAGTAGAACTGCCCCATAGGGTTTCCCAGGCTATAATCTTTACAGAAGCAGACTGCTATGGGTTTGAACCACCAACCTTGGGGTTAGCCACTCAGCGATTAGCCATTGCACCATCAGGGCTCCTTTTCAGGAATATCCAATGTAAAATAACCTCCAAGATATAATGGTAAGTGAAAAAAAGCAATGTGCAAGACAATATGTATAATATGCTATTTATGTAAGAAAAAACAATGAAGATCTATACCTATATATCTACAGATATGTTTGCGTTCCATGTGCCTAAAGTATTTCTGAAAGTACACATAAGAAATTAGTTAAAATAGTTGCCCCTGGGGACGGGTACTGGTTGCTGGGGGTAGAGAAGGCAGAAAGATTAAGGTTTTTTAATGTGCTTTTTCAGTTTTGCACCATCTATTCATTACCTACTAAATATATTAGACCAGAAAAACAAACCCACTGCCATTAAGTTGATTCTGACTCATAGCAGTTTAAAAAAGAGAAAAGAAAAATTTTAAATTTGAAAAAAAGAAAATAAAAAGTATCCAATAAGCCTATGAAACTTAGTTTTTGTCTTTTTTTTTTAAAAGAGAAGAGACTTAACTTTGGTTTACTTATTGGTCTGATTCCTTCTGCCCCCTTCAAAAACGTAAGCTGTTTATTAAGTAGAAGATCCCAGAATTTGAAAGAAAACCTCTAAATGAGACAAAAGGGTAATAAAAACAGACTGAGGCCCAGGCCCTGGGATTCTGGACGAAGCAAAGACCTCAGCTCTAAACAGAATTTTCTGATAAATTAGGCTGGCTATTCAAAAACTTTCTGACTGTTTCAATCTGCTTTCATACTGTGTATATGCAAATATACAAAGGGGTGCTCTTAGTAAGGGCCTGTGTGCATTTGCAGCTTGAATAAAAGGGGGGGAAAAGAATAGACAAATAAGGAGACAAAATTCTTCCAGCAAAGCATGTTTAAATGAATGCATTCCTCTTACTTCATACCATTTTAGTATTGCCCAAAGAGACAAAAAAATTATTTATCTGGATTTGCTATCAGAAATTTAAAAGAGAGCAAACAGGTATATAACACTGCTTAGTGTTTCCTAATGAAAAACAATATTCACTAATTATGTAAATAAAGATTTGTGTTCTTTTACATAAACAGACACAAGAGAGTACACTATCTTTACATTTTCAATGTTACATCATCATGGCAAACGAGTAACAATTCTTTCTTAATGCAAAATATCCAAAGAAATGGGTAGTTTATCTAAGTTTTATGGGTTCTGAGTTACTGCAGATAGACTGTAAGAAATGAGGAGAGAGCTGGAAGGAATGTTTTGGGCACTATGGGAAGCCTGACTTTGGGTGGTATAGGTACAGATCACAATGAATGAATTCCTCAAATGCAAACTATAGACAGGCTGTGAAATGGGCCTAAAGTGGTGACAAGGTAGGCACAGGCCTCCAGCAAAAAACAGAGGAAGGTCCACAGGCTGCTGCCTATGTGGTACATTTATGAAAATTCTATAATGAAGATATAATATCAACTGTTGCTACTGTGTGTTGTCAAATTGGTAAGGATGCATGGTGGCCCTCTGTTATGCGGTAGCACTGCTTCCTAGGGTTCTCTTGATTGTAATCCTTCTGGAAGCAGATTCCTAGGCCTTTCTTCCAGGTTCCAGGAAGTGGGTGGGTTTGAATCGCCAACCTTTTGGTAATCAGCTGAAAGCAATCCATTTGCACCACCAAGAGCACAAGAACCAACCTTCAGCACAAGTTCTGAGTGATATATTCCAAGGCCTCAGTCAATTTAAGGGTACAAGTTGTAACCGCCACAAACCCAATCTGTCTTGTCTCCAAGAGTGATCCCCTATATGTTAAATATGCAAACATTTCTTCGTGCTTCCTGCCCCCTAATACCTCCTTCAACTCCTTTCCTATTCTTATAGGACCCAGGAGCCTAGGATAGCTGCAGCCCTACATTTTAAAGTTGAGTTCATTGTAGAGGAGATACAAGTAACCACAAGCCCTCGAGTAACCCACACAAAGAAATCACTCGACTTTGGTCTAAATGACTTAAATTTTTCCTTGCCTGAATTAGCTGGTAATTGCATGTGGGCAGACTTAGCCAGAAATGGTCTAAATGATAAATTATAAAGCAAAAAGGAGTTCCTTTCTTTAAAGTTCAAGGGTCCCTGTTGAAGAGCCCTACTTCCCAAGTGATGCTCACGTGGGCCTGCACCCAGCTCTTTGCGGTACCTGAATACATTGTACATTTGCCTAATGATAATGAATCGAGTACTTATTTTACAGGAAAATATAGGGCATTTTCATTACAAGCAATCAAGCAAAAAGGCTGCAAAATGTGCCACTCCATTAATTCTAAACAGAATCCTTCCCAAATGTCACCCTGAAATCAGAGTATGGGTTATTATAAATCTGAAGGAATTAAGAGTAATTTTCATCTACACAAAGGATTTGAGGGACACGACTTCTGTCACACACACACTATTAATTGGGTTAAATTCAATTTGCCAATTTCAATGTGAATCACTGAGCCCTGATCTTGCTTGCCCTGGTGGTGAGAGCAGTGGGCTCATGTCTTCTTTGAGGACTCAGACACAGACACAGACACACACACACACCCCTTTACAATGCACCAAGTATGGGAGGTAATTGTCTAGTTATTAACAAATAAGTTGTTGAAAGAGGAAAAGGAAATCTCAGCTTTTGACAAGTCACTTAACTGCTTTAAGCCTCAGTTTCCTCACCTGTAAAAGGGGACTATAACGCCTACTTCAATGGGAGGCAGGCAGAGTAAATGAGCAAGAGTATATCAGAGCACTTAGTGTGGTGCCCAGCACATAGTTACACCCATTAAATGGTAACTATTATCTTTATTTTCATCTTCTGGCATCTCTTTGACCTAAGCTGGTTCTCAAACCATAATGAGTGAAATGTGGACCAGGAAGGGGACAACCTTCCCGGGTCACTGGTGGGTCAGTCCCCGGGATATCTGGGCAGCCCAGTGAGTTATTTCCTTCTAATTTCAATTCCCAGTATCACCGGGTTGTAGCTGGACTTGTGGGAGAGCACAGAGCAGGAGATGGGAATAACCAGGTTAAGGCGGTTTGAAGGATGGTCCAGTCTGCCCATAACAAGAACTTCTGGGCAGCGGGGAGCCCAGGGTGGGCCCTTACTCCACATTCCGGTACTTGGTGAAGAGGTTGTACAGCACTCGCAGCGTGGACTTCAGGTCACAGTTGACGATGTCTGCACAGGAAATAAAACCCATACATTGCTTCAGTGTGGCCCAAAGTTGGCATTCATTGTCTCCTTCATGCAACACCCACCCCTATGTGTCCAGCATGGTCCTGGGTGGGTGCTGAGCTCACCCATGGGACATCATCCTATGCTCCTGAGGAGCTCCCTGTCCAGCTGGGAGAGGAGAGCACTGCTTCTGAGGTAACCAAGGGCAGAAGACTGTAGGTAGGTAGAGTGTGAATCGAGAATTCAGAGCAGGGACCAGCTAGGGGCAGAGCTGTGGAGCACAGGGCCTTATCTTTCATGAAAATAAAGTGGATGCCAGCGCATGCAGGCGTCACCCTAGAAGTAGCATCTCCAGGTAAGAGCGGCACTGGCTCTGACCCTGTTGCTCCAAGTCTCATCTGTCCTTGGAGGCCCCCTCTCCCTGCCTCCAGCCTCTATGAGCTCAACATGAGAGAGAGAAAAGAGAGCGCCTCAGGCTATGGAAGGACAGTTGTTAATCAGGTCTCAAGCTGCCTCTCCTGCAGAGAAGGGAGGGCCCCCAGAAGGCATAGGACCTCACTTGGCAGAGAATGGGGGCTGACAGGGAGAATTGAGTAAATACATATCATTGAGGGAAAGACAGATGCAGATTAAGAATAGAGCAATGCAGAGGAGTTTGAGGTTCTAAAAGTAGACTGGAGGAATTGAACATTATTCTCAGAGAGTTCCTTTAGGGGCTCCTGAGCTTTCTGCAACTATTTCCTCTGTCTTTCTCTTCCTTGCATCCATCCATCATCCATCTATCTATTTACTCATCACCTTCTTCTAGGGCACTACTCCTCTAACCCTCTGCTGCTTCCTTTGCTACTCCTTCCCCCAGATAAGGGCCCATCTGTGTTTGTTCCTCTACATGCTCTCTGTTAGAAAACCTTCCCTGGAAGAACTAGAATAGATAGATAGATAGGTAAACAAACAAACAAACAAGCAGACTTTGTCTACTATTTGGGAATGCATATTTAGGTAATAAAATTCTAAGGAAAAGCAAAGACCTTATGACTAAATAAGTTAGGCCATCATTCATTTGTCAGTTTGTTGTATTGTGGTGGCTTAAGTGTCACTGTGAGGCTGGAGGCTATGCTACCAGTATTTCAAACACCAGTAAGGTCACCCATGGTGGATAGGTTTCAGTGGAGCTTCCAGGCTAACACAGATTCAGAAGAAGGAAGGGGCCATCCATTTCTCAAAGAGTTGGCCAATGAAAACCTCACAAATAGCAATGAAACACTGTCTGATAATTACTGGAAAACTTGATGAATAGCCCTGAAATACTGTCTGATATAGTGCTGGAAGATGAATCCCTCAGGTCGGAAGGCACTCAAAATATGACTGGGGAAGAGCTGCATCATCAAAGTAGAGTCGACCTTAATGACACGGATAAAGTAAAGCTTTTGGGGGCTCTGGTGGTGTAGTGCCTAAAGCATCTGACTGCTAACCAGAAGGATGGTGGTTCAAACCCACCAGCCACTCCTCAGAAGGAAGACTGGGCAATCTACTCCCATAGTGATACCGCCTTGGAAAACCAAGGAGGGGTTGCTATGAGTTGGATCCGACTTGACGGCAGTGAGTTTGTTTGTTTGTTTTTTTTTAATGTGCTGATGTGGCATGACTCAATATGGGAAGAAACAGCTGCAACCATTAATAATCAGAACATGGAATGTATGAAGTATGAATCTAAGAAAATTGGAAGTTTTAAAAAATGAAATGGAACACATAAAAATTGATATCCTAGGTGTTAGTGAGCTGAAATGGACTGGTTTTGGCCATTTTGAATCAGACAACCATATGATCTGCCTTGCCAGGAATGACAAATTGAAGAGGAATGAAATAGTATTGATCATCACAAAAAATGGATCAAGATCTATCCTGAAGTATGGATTTCCAGTAAGATGGCAGAATAGGCTGACAAGCTGCACAGAACCTCTTCAACAAAGCAAAGAGAAACCAACTGACACAGGTACAGAAGATAATCCTGGAGCTCTGAGCTTTGAAAGGAAGGATACAGAAATGGATTAAACACCAATGAGTAAAATAACCTGAAAGAAAACAGTGAATAAAGAGACTAACAGAGCTGTGGACTGTCAGTTATCCTGATGGCATGGAGAGTTTGAATATTTCCAAGTGGTGTTAGGACCTAAGAACTAACCTAAAGACCAGCACTGTTCACCAAGGGCTGCAAGGACAACTGCATTGGTGGCTGATGACTAAAAACGGACACAGCAAACAAGGAGACAAACTGAGCTGTGGACTTTTGGCTGTCTTGAGGGCACAGACATTTTGAATGTTTACCAACAGTGGCCGTTTTGGATATTTAAAGCAATAGCATTCTCATTCTGATTCCAGGAACCTAAAAATAGGCTCCACTCGTTGAGGACAGCATGGACATACCAGAGACTGACGAATGGAAAGGAGATAGGTGGTGAGTGCATAAGTGCTGTCAACTAGTGAAAAGAGAAGCTGCTTGCTCAGATATATCCAAAAAAAGCAAAAATCTTGGGTGAATTACTCTAACATACAATCACCAATTAAATAAAAATACAAGAATGTCACATGTCTCAGAGACAACAGAGCATCACAGTCCACACAAAGAAGCAAGATAAAGCAGTAGAAACAAGGATCCAAGATACAGACCCAAAACACATTGCTGAGGAAGAAGGAGCATTGGAACTCTTTGATAAAGCATTCAAAAGAATTATATTTAGGCACCTTCATTGGATTGAGAAACAGATCAAGGAAAACACTGATAAAACTGAGGAAAACACAGGCAAAACCTAGAAGAATTTTGGAAGACAATACAAGAACAAAATGACAAAATAAATGAAAAATTAGAAATGATACAAAATCTACAGACAGAAATCCAGAATATTAATACTAAATTTTTAGAAATGGATAACACATTGAATGGGCAAAGGAGTAGAATCAAATCAGTGAAGACAGAATTAGTGAGATTGAAGACAAATACCTTAATACTTCTTTGGAAAGGGATCAATCAGAGAAAAGATCAAAATAAAATGAAGAAAGGCTAAGATTCATGTGGGATACCATCAAGAGGAATAACCTACATGTAACCAGAATTCCAGAACAGGAAGAGACACATAAAACCACAGAGGAAATTGTCAAAGATTTGTTGGAGGAGAATTTCCCGGAGATGATGAAAGATGAGAATATATCCATTCAAGAAGTCCAGTGTACCCTAAACAGGACAGATTCCAAAAGAAAATCACCAAGACATATTATAAAACTCATCAAAATCAAAGACAAAGAAAGGATCCTAAAAGCAGCATGGGAAAAACGAAAAGTTGCTACAAAGGGCAACCAATAAGACTAAGCTCTGATTTCTCATCAGAAACCATGCAGGTGAGAAAGCAATGAAAGGTATAAAAGCAATGAAAGAAAAAAAATTTGCAAGCAAGTATTATATACCCAGCAAAACTGTCCCTCAAATATGATGATAAAATCAGGACATTTCCAGATAACAGAAATTAAGGGAATTTGTTAAAACTAGACCAACCTTACAAGAGATGCTAAAGGGAATCCTTTGGACAGAGAACCAACAAAAGAGAAAGCAACAACAGATCATGAACATACATGATAACATAATCCAGAAACCAACCCAGTTGTGGAAGTATCCAAAGTAAAATAAGCTTACAAGATTTACACAGGGAACCAGAGACATCAATTGGCAAATGAGGACACCTACAAACCAAAAAAGGAGATCTGGTAGCGTAGTGCCTAAGGCACTTGACTGCTAACCAGAAGGCTGGCAGTTCACACCCACCAGCCACTCCTTGGAAGGAAGGTTGGGCAATCTACTTCCATATTAATAATGCCTCGGAAACCCAAGGAGGGGTCGCTATGAGTTGGGTCCGACTTGACGACACATAACAACAACAACAACAACAATACAAAAAGAGGGAAAAAATAGTGTAGTTATAGAACTTGTAAATGGTGAGGAAGTCAAGACAATTGCAAGATAGAATAGACTCTTGTAAACTTGGGTAAATCTTGTAAATCATATGGTAAGTCCAAAGAAAAATTATAAACCTTCACATCAAAATAAAAAAGAGGACAAGCACAAATATTTAGCAAATACTAAAACAATAGCAATGAAGGAAATGATAACATGATTCATAAACAAAACAAGCTCAGCGTAGAAAATTATATGGAACTAAGATATCCACAAAACCGTAAAAAAACACATAACAAAATGACAGCAACCAATTTATAATTCTTAAAAATTACACTGAACATCAATGGATTAATTGCACCACCCAAGAGATGGAGAGTTGCAGATTGCATAAGAAAATATAACCCATCAATATGCTGTCTACTACAAGAGACACAACTTAGAGACAAAGACAAAAACAGATTAAAAATCAAATGTTGGAAAAAGGTATGTCAAGCAAATGGCAACCAAAAAAGAGCAGGAGTATCAATATTAATGTCTGATAAAATTGACTTTAAGACAAAAACCACCTTAAGAGACAAGGAAGGGCATTATATAATGATTAAAGGATTGACTGATCAAGAGGACATAACCATAATAAATTTCTACACACCCAATGTAAGAGCCCCAAAATACATACATCAGACTTTAACAGAATTCAAAAGACAAACAGATGACTCCACAGTCATAGTAGGAGACTTTAATACACTACTTTCAATGAAAGATAGAACAACTAGAAAAAAAACCTCAAAAAGATGCAGAAGAACTAAACAAGTCAATCCACCAACTTAATCTTATAGATATCTACAGAGCACTTCCCCTAACAACAGCACAATATACATTCTTTTCCAGCACACATGGAACATTCTCCATTTGTTAATTCACAAAGGAAGCATTAGTAAATTGAAAAACATTGAAATATTGCAAAGCATCTTCCCAGATCACAATGCTATAAAATTAGAAATCAACAAAAGGAAGATCAATGGAAAAGGGCAAACACATGGAAACGGAATAACACTCC